CCCTTTGTCCATACGTCTGCCGGTGAGCTCCAGTAAGCTTCATACGCCAGTCGTTGGAGGTTTGGAATCAGGGTTTAGCCATCTCCCCTAGACAGTCATCCAATGGACAGTCAACCCGGTGAGGAGCGCCAGGCATCCGCTTTTGCCCTCTCACTTTGGTGAGAAACACCTCCGCCACGTGAAGGCAGTGAGTAGGACTTCCTCAGGAGAGGCTATGTAAGACGCCCGGTCATATGGGGGCATTTCCAGAGGTGTGCGGAGGGGTGGCCAACCCGCAGCGCAAGGCACCCACCCCCGACCATCCTGAGGCTTTGGAGGCAACACCAACGACGACTGATTGATACCAGTTGATGAAGTTAGCGGTGGATCAAAAGCTGTTGTTGTTCGGCTTTCAGAAGGTTGTCTAACTGCAAGAATACCATCACTGCTGTCTTTTACTATTAGCTCCGGTTTAGCACTAGCATTTGATGATAGGTGGGCTTCACTCTAACCAATTACACTGACGGTTTGACAAGTATGCATGCCTTCTGCAACTGCATCTGCATTTATTTCTACTTCACGTTCAAGTTGTACAGAACCTTTGTTCAACTTAGCAGTAATAGGCATACCCCTCATCTCATCATGATCAACCAAAGACAAATGTGAAGTATCATGATCATTATCACGAACATTCACTTTACCGTCAATTTCATCATTTTCAAACTATTTAATAACAGAAGTAGACAATTTTGGTTCCTCCTCACAAATCCTAAAAGGTTTTATAACTTCACTCTGACTAGTTATACCTAGTAAACTTGTGGAGTCAGAACTGCACTCTGAAGCAGCAACTCTATTCTGTGACACTATTCAACAATGGCTTACCAGTTGCAACTACAGACTTCTTCACCGCACCGTTATCGTCACACAATTCGGAGTCAGGCCTGGAGTTTACATTTAGCTTATCACTGAACTTGCTTACTGGTTCACAGTTCACCTTTGTATGCACCTCTTGCAAACGTGTAAAACACAACCGTGTTTGTCTTTCATCTTGTAACTTATCTGTTGAGGATGTACTACGAAACCTGTTACACTCACTAGATCTATATGCATTACTAGACATCATGGAGCCTTCTCGATATCCACCTCTCTGAGGCCTATTCGTCATCAATGATTGCGTTTTTCCCTCAGACTGCTCTATTCTAGGGGTGAAATTCAATATACTGGCAAACTTGCTCATAGATTGATTGACACTATCTTTTACTAGTTTCAGGATATCATAAAATTTTGGCTCGATACCCTCATCCTCCATACGGGAGCTTATCTTCACCCACTTCCTTTGCAGTCGAGTAGGTAGGCAGTATAGCAGAAAACTTGCTCAAAGCTTGGTTGACACTGTCTATCACCAGCCTCACAATATCATCCAACTTGGGCTCTAAACCCTCCGCCTCTAGATGTGAACAGACCTTTAAGAACTTTCCTTGTAGACAAACCGATAATCTCTTGGCAACTGTCCCAAGCACAGAACTTGAGTTCAACTCATCCATATTGTTACGATAAACGAGAGTATTTCCGTTTACCATTAAACTGTCCAAGAACTCTGCGAGTTCCTCTGAATTATCGTTTAACTCTGATCTATTACCTTTCACTGCCTCAAAAATACTGCGAGATATCATAAGTGGTTTTCAAACTTTTGACGTATTATCTTCACAGCCCCTGTATTTCCTTCGCTTCGGGAAAAAACTTGCAGCACTATATGGCTCTTGAAGCAACACCAGTGTAATACCTCAACAAATACATTAGCTTTATTTATTTATTTTTATTTTAGATTACAGCTTGATTCCACACCGTATTTTTGGAACGAGTGTGGAATTTTCAGCGTGGATATCGGTAGCCCAAAATTCGCAGGCCGATCATAGATACCAGGTGTGCGTCGGCGTGTGATCGAACCTCGGACCATGCACATGGTCGGCGAGAGTCCTAACCACTGTGCCACCGACGTCATTTAATAGAAAGCCACTCAACATGACCTCAAACTCCTTGATAAACTGCGGGTAGTCGGCTGGGTTACCATCAAGTACCGAGGTTCAAATTGCGGAGCCTTAAAGCACCACTATCCCAAAACGGCGAAGCGTGAACATCCGACTCATCATGCATATCATTACAATCAACAGGAAACTCATCCTTTTTTGACTGCTTTCACGGTGCCAAGTCCCTTCTTTCGCCCATGCATTATCCAACGTCACCATAGGATCCAAATTGCGTTGATAATCCTTGTCCAAAGATGCTGGCTGCAGTCCGAGTAAGTACTCTCAGAAGAGTTCCAGAAAACGAACAGAGGAATAAAAACTGTCAAGGAACTTAACCCTAAGTTCCTGTTGTTACGAAGACGCTCCGAACAGATAAATACTACGACCGATTCTCGACTTTAACTCTAAAACACCAGTGGTTGTAAGAAGGAAGTTGTATTATTTGGTACAGCGCCGCATATTTGGCGCCGTTTTCGAAGTTTGTCGTTTTTTCCGCGTAATTTTCGTTTTTATTATTCTTTTTGTATTCCCATTTTTCAGGATATATCCTCAGTGTCACTGACTACTAACACAAATAGCAATATTTTTTTCATATCTAAACCTACCTTTGTAGTCACTGGATATTATCCTTACTGGTTTTCTTCTTTCAGGCTATTGATTAAGGTATTACCATTTCGAGCACCTGACTTTTGGTACCCATATTACGCTTGTTTTTTTGTTTTGTCATAACGTCAAACAGCCTAAGACTCGTCTACCTGCAGTTCTGTATTAACTATACACAAAATGCCAGTTAAGCTATCAAAGCGTCGTGCTTCATCATCGGCTGAAAACTTCAGCAAAAGACAAATCTAGCAAGCCTAAACAGCATGGTAACTTTCCCTTCATCTGACAAAGATGCTAAATAAGACAAGATCAGAAATCATTACTTCTTCACCTTCTTGTGTAATAAGTGATTTTATCAGGGGTATTTACAGTAGTACAGGTTGTGAGACAAGTGTAGGGGACTGTTACGAGAGTTTACTAACATTACAAATATGAGAATAATAATCCAAGTCAATGAAACGTTAAATAACAATATATTACCAAAAATGCAGTAACGAGTTATATCAATAAAAAGGATTACTTGGATATGAAGTTTAAGTCCGCTGCTACAAATTATTTATATAATCCACGGGAACGTTAACTGTTTGGGTTGCGTCTGCTGTGTTCCGGTTGTAGAATTGTCTTCGGTTGAGGATAGTAGACTCCTGCAATAAATCTGAAGTATACAACACGGTATGAGTGGAGCAAGTAAGCAGAAATGGCCAGAAAGAAGGAAGTTTTCAACAGTAAAGTGTATTTCCAATTGTACACGGAAGTTATATGTATTTTAACAAGAATAGTTTAAACAAAAATCATGTACAATATCTCTAATTTCTACAAATAACCAAAAAGTGTACAATCATATAGTTACGTACTACACACGGCTCCCCCCCCCTAGAGGTCCGGAGAGACTACCGGAAAATGTTAAGTAAAACTCTGAAGTAAATAATAATAGTAGTAATAATTTTAAGATAAAAATAAGGATACAAAATAACATGCATGTACGCGAGAAGGTATTTGAATCATGTAAAGTCTGAAAGCATATACAATTAGTTCAACAATAAAAATTGAAATAGAAGGTCATGTCAATTGAATGAGGTTGGTTTCTCATTTGCGCAAACCATGAACGAAGATTTTTAATGTATAAAGAAAAGTATGTTTATACACAGTAATTAAAGAGGGGAAAGAAAACAGAAAAAATATGAATTGAGAAACGATAGTTTCTGAAAAACACAATACCTGTTTGTAGGTGAGGTACATATAAATAAATAATAGTGACAGTAACATCAAAGTGTACGAAGAAATACTAACAGTCATGATAATACCCATCATCTCACGAACTTCGTCTTAAATTATCAGACTTGGTGCGTGTCTTGGTAGAGGAGCTTGTGGCATAGTTCGTGTAGTGCGTGAAGTATCACCGCCTCATTCTGAGCGTCGGTGGCACTGGTTAGGACTTTCGCCGACTATGCACATGGTCTGAGATTCTATCCCCTGCTGACGCACACCTCATAGCTATGGTCGGCCTGCAAATTTTGGGCTACCGGTATCCATGCTGAAAATTCCATACCTGTACTAAAAATACATTGTGGAATCAAGCTGTAATCAAAAAAAAATATGCAATGAAATCACAATTTAAAGGAGCCTGGTTACATCACGATCCGGAGGGATCTCAAATACTACTTGAAAGAACTGTATTAGCTCAAGCAACTGCCATTGGAAATCCATGGCTTCCACATCTACATTATGCATTTCGAGATGGAAAGTATTTACATCTTGTCATGGATTATGAACCTGGTGGTGACTTATATATATTTTTAAGCAAAGTTGGCCATTTATTGGATTCAAAGATGGTGCAGTTTTATGCTGCTGAAGCCGTAGAAGCTATTCATTCTCTACATCAAATGGGTTACATTCACTGTGATTTAAAACCTGAAAATTTTGCAATTGAAAGAAGTGGACACTTGAAATTAATTGACTTCGGTTCAGCTATCAGACTTCATGCAGATGGGAAATGTATCTGTCCTTCAATGGTTGGAACAAAAGAACACTTAAATATTGAATTATTAAGACAACGTGGACGACATAATCAAGAACCATTACTTGTCGGTCCAGAATTTGATTATTGGTGTATTGTTATATGAATTATTCTATGGTCAAACACCATTCTATGATGAAGATGACAAAATGATGCAAAAGATTATGGATTATCGGAAAACACTGAAATTCCCACCATCCTCTGAGATAACAGACTCAGCAATTGATTTGATTGAATCATTGATTGTTACCCCATCGAAACGGTTAACTTATGCAGATGTTGTTATGCATCCATTTTTCAAAGATGTTGACTTCGCAGCATTAAGAGAAGTTACGCCTCCATACTTACCCCCTGTTGGTGAACTTGATGATTTTTCAAATTTCTCTGGTGGTGGTTGACGTTGGTTTATCACGGGTACGTGAACCACCACTAGAGAAATTTGAAAAATCATCAAGTTCACCAACAGGGGGTAAGTATGGAGGCGTAACTTCTCTTAATGCTGCGAAGTCAACATCTTTGAAAAATGGATGCATAACAACATCTGCATAAGTTAACCGTTTCGATGGGGTAACAATCAATGATTCAATCAAATCAATTGCTGAGTCTGTTATCTCAGAGGATGGTGGGAATTTCAGTGTTTTCCGATAATCCATAATCTTTTGCATCATTTTGTCATCTTCATCATAGAATGGTGTTTGACCATAGAATAATTCATATAACAATACACCAATAATCAAATTCTGGACCGACAAGTAATGGTTCTTGATTATGTCGTCCACGTTGTCTTAATAATTCAATATTTAAGTGTTCTTTTGTTCCAACCATTGAAGGACAGATACATTTCCCATCTGCATGAAGTCTGATAGCTGAACCGAAGTCAATTAATTTCAAGTGTCCACTTCTTTCAATTGCAAAATTTTCAGGTTTTAAATCACAGTGAATGTAACCCATTTGATGTAGAGAATGAATAGCTTCTACGGCTTCAGCAGCATAAAACTGCACCATCTTTGAATCCAATAAATGGCCAACTTTGCTTAAAAATATATATAAGTCACCACCAGGTTCATAATCCATGACAAGATGTAAATACTTTCCATCTCGAAATGCATAATGTAGATGTGGAAGCCATGGATTTCCAATGGCAGTTGCTTGAGCTAATACAGTTCTTTCAAGTAGTATTTGAGATCCCTCCGGATCGTGATGTAACCAGGCTCCTTTAAATTGTGATTTCATTGCATATTTTTTTTGATTACAGCTTGATTCCACAATGTATTTTTAGTACAGGTATGGAATTTTCAGCATGGATACCGGTAGCCCAAAATTTGCAGGCCGACCATAGCTATGAGGTGTGCGTCAGCAGGGGATAGAATCTCAGACCATGTGCATAGTCGGCGAAAGTCCTAACCAGTGCCACCGACGCACAGAATGAGGCGGTGATACATCACGCACTACACGAACTATGCCACAAGCTCCTCTCCCAACACACGCACCAAGTTTTAAGTCTGATAATTTAAGACGAAGTTCGTGAGATGATGGGTATTATCATGACTGTTAGTATTTCTTCGTACACTTTGATGTTACTGTCACTATTATTTATTTATATGTACCTCACCTACAAACAGGTATTGTGTTTTTCAGAAACTATCGTTTCTCAATTCATATTTTTTCTGTTTTCTTTCCCCTCTTTAATTACTGTGTATAAACATACTTTTCTTTATACATTAAAAATCTTCGTTCATGGTTTGCGCAAATGAGAAACCAACCTCATTCAATTGACATGACCTTCTATTTCAATTTTTATTGTTGAACTAATTGTATATGCTTTCAGACTTTACATGATTCAAATACCTTCTCGCGTACATGCATGTTATTTTGTATCCTTATTTTTATCTTAAAATTATTACTACTATTATTATTTACTTCAGAGTTTTACTTAACATTTTCCGGTAGTCTCTCCGGACCTCTAGGGGGGGGAGCCGTGTGTAGTACGTAACTATATGATTGTACACTTTTTGGTTATTTGTAGAAATTAGAGATATTGTACATGATTTTTGTTTAAGACTATTCTTGTTAAAATACATATAACTTCCGTGTACAATTGGAAATACACTTTACTGTTGAAAACTTCCTTCTTTCTGGCCATTTCTGCTTACTTGCTCCACTCATACCGTGTTGTATACTTCAGATTTATTGCAGGAGTCTACTATCCTCAACCGAAGACAATTCTACAACCGGAACACAGCAGACGCAACCCAAACAGTTAACGTTCCCGTGGATTATATAAATAATTTGTAGCAGCGGACTTAAACTTCATATCCAAGTAATCCTTTTTATTGATATAACTCGTTACTGCATTTTTGGTAATATATTGTTATTTAACGTTTCATTGACTTGGATTATTATTCTCATATTTGTAATGTTAGTAAACTCTCGTAACAGTCCCCTACACTTGTCTCACAACCTGTACTACTGTAAATACCCCTGATAAAATCACTTATTACACAAGAAGGTGAAGAAGTAATGATTTCTGATCTTGTCTTATTTAGCATCTTTGTCAGATGAAGGGAAAGTTACCATGCTGTTTAGGCTTGCTAGATTTGTCTTTTGCTGAAGTTTTCAGCCGATGATGAAGCACGACGCTTTGATAGCTTAACTGGCATTTTGTGTATAGTTAATACAGAACTGCAGGTAGACGAGTCTTAGGCTGTTTGACGTTATGACAAAACAAAAAAACAAGCGTAATATGGGTACCAAAAGTCAGGTGCTCGAAATGGTAATACCTTAATCAATAGCCTGAAAGAAGAAAACCAGTAAGGATAATATCCAGTGACTACAAAGGTAGGTTTAGATATGAAAAAATATTGCTATTTGTGTTAGTAGTCAGTGACACTGAGGATATATCCTGAAAAATGGGAATACAAAAAGGAATAATAAAAACGAAAATTACGCGGAAAAAACGACAAACTTCGAAAACGGCGCCAAATATGCGGCGCTGTACCAAATAATACAACTTCCTTCTTACAACCACTGGTGTTTTAGAGTTAAAGTCGAGAATCGGTCGTAGTATTTATCTGTTCGGAGCGTCTTCGTAACAACAGGAACTTAGGGTTAAGTTCCTTGACAGTTTTTATTCCTCTGTTCGTTTTCTGGAACTCTTCTGAGAGTACTTACTCGGACTGCAGCCAGCATCTTTGGACAAGGATTATCAACGCAATTTGGATCCTATGGTGACGTTAGATAGTGGATGCGCCAGAGAAGTACGTGGAGATCTATTGGAAGATCTCGATAAGTAGACAAGAGTGGTGGAATATGAATTACGAATATGTCTGGTACCAACCAATATATTTGCGGTAGCCATAATAATCACAGTCTCAGAGCCTAACATCAAAAAAGGAGGGAGGGTGGCGCTAGCTGATCAGCAGATATGGGTGTGGTCACTAAGGTGAATCGCCCCATTCTGCAGGAACAGCAATATGCAATTTGACTGCTCGAAATTTTTCTGGTTTATATGAGGGCTTAGATCCTTGTCTTGAAAAAATAATAATGAACGCCTAAACAGATCATGCTTCTGCCTTAAAACATATACCATTCGCTCAGCCTATTGTTGAGACGCGACCACGTGGGCTCTGCACAGATTTATGGGGCATCTTATAAAATAACTTGCTATCCATTATCGGATCTTTGAATCCCGCTTCACAATGTCTTATCTCATTCATTTTCTAATAATATCTTTACTTGATCCTCATTATATTCCATTAAACCTAACATTTTATAGCTCTTTACGAATTTTATTCGACTTATTCTATTCCTATTATCTGTAGGGTACGGTTGATCACCAAATAGATAGAAAAGTATGAAATAAAATAACGGCATGAGGATATATGTATTGAAACCAAAAGTGGACATCACGCTAGCACGAACTACATGGGTGTCATTATACATTGCAAATGAACGTTGTCAGCTTAGGGAGTTTCCTTTATAAATGCATTTATTAATGACACATTGCACTTACTTATTTTAATATACTTCATTGATTCACCTTAGCACTTTTCTAAAACTGCTTTCAATCCCTTGTAAACGTTGTACCTACCTCAATTTTGGTTGTTTATCGCATGCCTACAACCACGGGATGAAAACGAAACGAAGTCAGTTTTCCCGCGCAACCTGGAGGACAACTGTACAATTCAATAATTATACGGCGTGGCTACGACAATGAGTGTAATTATATATATGTATCAAATATTTAACTGTTGAAGCATTATTAACTTGTGGATAATCTATGATTTGATATTATATCATACTGGATCGTGCCTGTAAAACTGGAATGCATTCTCATGTAAATATATATGTTTATATGAAAATATAAATTATTATTAATCTATTTGTGTTAAGTAATTGAATGGGTTCCGATTCATTCAATTGTTGGTTCATTTTATATTTGTCGCATTGTGTGAATCATCTCGTAATGTTATTGTGAGTACATCTGACGTCGTTTCCAGCGTTCTTAACTTGTGAACGAATCGAGTAATGTTAGTGTCAGTGTATGAGATTTGATACGCCGGGGAGGGGATTGTGCCGGAGTGATATGAAGCAACCAACACCCCGTGGACCAGATCAGTTTTGGTACTGTCGATAGTGAGCGAAGGAAATTTCCGTTTAATAAAGAAGATCCCGCACGCCGGGGAGAGCCTACTGGTGTAAGTCCCGCAATCCTTCAGAGGAATTACATCAAGACATGATCTATGAGGTTATGTGTACTGTTTGTATATGTGTGGTGTCAATGGAAGTGAACATTGAACGTTGTTTCATTGGCTTTGTTCGCCAGGAGTGTGCAACTCGACGGCGCGAATGCTTCAATCTTTTACACGTTCGAAGAAGACGAATGAAGACCAATAAAAGTATGTATATATTTCATATAAATTAAAGATTTACATGATTGACATACCGTTTGCACGGAAATGATCATATTTGACAAGTGCAATTTGAAATGGAACACTTTTTATGACATTTAAAATTGGAAAAAGCGAAAAGCCTTCTATAGACTTTATGAGAATAGATTACAATCTTTTGGTTTAAGTCTAAATTATAATCTTCAATATACTTATCGTGAGTAAAATTCATGCGGGAATTACGAAATATTGCGTTAATGGAAAGTAAGAAGTGCGGTGATGTATAGGTGCTAGAGCAAGACACACTGGATGCAGACCTTGTGATCATTATCATTTTATCAATCAATGGGGGTTCAAAAATTTATAAAACTCCACTGTAGATGGTAAGTACAGCGTGATTTTGGTATTAGCAGATACACTGGACGAACTTTTCGATGTTTAACAGAATTCATAATAGGATTTGTCCCGTTGTTCATCGTAAGTGCTAACAATATTCTGAATAACGCTCAAGTAATACAAACGTAGAACGCAGCATTACTGTTCATTTTTAGTGCTTCAATGCAATTCCTTCGAGAAGAGAAGAAAACAGAAGGAGAGGCGCAGAGGAAGCAAATAATAATAATTTAAGCAAACAATATGCGATAACCGCAGGGTTTCTTCCCCTTTTTTATAACTAAGAATGCCATGATTCAAATACCTTCTCGCGTACATGCATGTTATTTTGTATCCTTATTTTTATCTTAAAATTATTACTACTATTATTATTTACTTCAGAGTTTTACTTAACATTTTCCGGTAGTCTCTCCGGACCTCTAGGGGGGGGAGCCGTGTGTAGTACGTAACTATATGATTGTACACTTTTTGGTTATTTGTAGAAATTAGAGATATTGTACATGATTTTTGTTTAAGACTATTCTTGTTAAAATACATATAACTTCCGTGTACAATTGGAAATACACTTTACTGTTGAAAACTTCCTTCTTTCTGGCCATTTCTGCTTACTTGCTCCACTCATACCGTGTTGTATACTTCAGATTTATTGCAGGAGTCTACTATCCTCAACCGAAGACAATTCTACAACCGGAACACAGCAGACGCAACCCAAACAGTTAACGTTCCCGTGGATTATATAAATAATTTGTAGCAGCGGACTTAAACTTCATATCCAAGTAATCCTTTTTATTGATATAACTCGTTACTGCATTTTTGGTAATATATTGTTATTTAACGTTTCATTGACTTGGATTATTATTCTCATATTTGTAATGTTAGTAAACTCTCGTAACAGTCCCCTACACTTGTCTCACAACCTGTACTACTGTAAATACCCCTGATAAAATCACT